TTTTAAAAAAAAAAAAAAAAAGCAAAAAAAACCCAAGAAAAAAAAAAAAAAACCCCCCCCAAAAAAAAAGCCCCCCCAACCCCCCCCCCCAATCTTAATTCCATTTCAGATATGGAATTCCTTCCAGATTTTAAGGCTAGGAATAAGCCTAAGGTTCCATGCCTTAGTTTGCTTTCCTCTTCTGTAATAAATCATGATAGAGCGAGTGGTGGGTAGCAATCAGGATGGCAATGTATCGCATGACACCCAGTTTCATAAACTCACATAGAGTTTGTGGTTTGGTTTTGGTTTTCTATTCATTTTGAAAGTATGGACCAAGTATTGTTTAGCATTTGGCGTCTCTCTTGTCCATGGTAAGCTCTCTGGTTTTTTTCATAGAGCTTCTTCACTTTTCCAGTAATGATTCAAACCCCTTTATATTAAATATTGTATGTGTTTTACTTTTTCATTTCATGTACTTAAATACAGTTGTTCTACTTCTTAAAGTAGAATAGAAGCTATCTTCAAATTTTTATTTTTACAACTGTTCATTAGATTTGGAGAAGCTCTGGGGTTTAAACACACTTGGGATTACGATTTTTTTTTTTAAGCACTTCTCAATTAAATTCATTTTTTTTCTGGCAAAAACTTCAAAGAGTACATGCGTTAATAGGCAGATGGAAGTGATGAACTGTTATGAGTGGAAATGGGAAATGACCAGAGACTTAGGATTTACTCTCGAGGTCTGATGAGGAGGCTAATACTTTGTATTAGCATACGTTGTTTATAGGGAGAAATCTGAAATTCCAGCTTGAATTATTTAGAGTTGAATGTCCAAGGAGAGATTGAATATGTGTAAAAGGTAGGAAAGAATGTGGTGCAAGCCATGGGAAGAATTTTCATGTGAAGAGCAAATTCTTTTCAGAACAAAAAGTCATTATTGCTTCTTTCTTCAGCTGCCAAAGGGTATAAATTTTCTCTTGAATGCCTTGTGTAGATGACATTCATATTTTTGTTTTTAAAAAGTATCTGTGTGTCAATTCACTTAAATATTTTAGTGTGTGTATGTCTCCCACTCCACACGTGTATATATACACACACATCCCTTCCCAAGGAAGTAAGTGATAATAACAAAGCTGGGCTTCCTTTTGGAGGCTGATAAAGCAACTGAAAGTAATTTTGCCCTTAAGTCTGTTCAGAACATTGAGCCTACTTCTCTTAAGCAAACTTTCTTTGTTGTGTGGCTTGAAAATATTTATCCATTTGAAGTAAACTTTGAAAATGCAGGGTTTCCTTCGTCTTGTTCTCTTAAACAAAAAGTGCTGATGGCTTGTTGAAGCCTTAGAATGATATTGAAACTTTATGAGAAGGTCCAAAACAAATGGATGCTATCTTGAGAGAGAGGTTCAATTTGGTAATTATCTTGTGTCAAAGTGCTGAGTGTTTTGAAGAATAATGTAAAACTTGAAGCACTGTACATTTTGGTCACAGGCAGCGTCCCTTCCTGTAATCTAAATAAAAGTTATTGTATCATTCTGAAGAACAAAGCTAAGACTTGTTCTCTTAAACTGAGCATTTTATTCAAGTTTAACTGAAGTAAAATTTTGTACCCTAAACTCTTCAACCCCAAATAGTTTTCCTTCAGAGCTAAAGCCACAGCTTCAACATGTAGATGTGGTTGTCGCTTTTGTATCTGCTATGGGTTTTATGTATTATACATATTGATGAGTATATTCATGCTACTCCTGTGTTTGATAATGTAAAAGGAAAAAAAAAAACCCCTACTCTTCACCAAACCTGAAATAAAAAGTGTATTCTGCTATTGACATCCTGAAGCAAAATCTGTTTACCAAATGTATTTATAAAAGTTACTTGGGCTTTTAACAAACCTTATAATCCTAGGTGTGGTACTGCATTGAAGACTTAGATGTTGATTGTGCTTTTTTTAAAAATAAAAGTCTGAATCAATTCTTCTGCTCTTTTATTCAGAATTGTGGCTGAAGATACTGTTCTTTGTTTTTTAGAAATCGAGCGATAGCAGATTACCTTCGTTCTAATGGCTATGAAGAGGCCTATTCGGTTTTTAAAAAGGAAGCTGAGTTAGATGTGGTGAGTTCAAACAAGATTCTTAATCTGTATTTTAAGTAAAAAGTTAATAATTTTATGGCATATGCATCCATTCTGAACATGTGTATCTATTATGTACCTATTAGCTCATGTAGTTTCAGAACTGGAAGTGATAAACTCGTACAGCTTATTGCCTTGCCATAAAATTAAAAAATAATAATTTGATGACGTGGCAGTTTCTGAGGAAAACTTACCTTTATCTTCAGCTAGTAACTTAGGCATGTTCTTTAATCTTTTTTTTTTTTTTTTTTTTTTGCCTAGCTACCACTCATCTATACAATGCTGAGTTTTTCCTGTAATGACCTTTTAAGGATCCAGGTCCTGAGAGGACCTAGATACTTCAAGATGAAATGTGCTAGAAAACAAAGCTAACAAAAGGCAATGTCAATGTATAAAAAAAGTGATAGAAGATGGTATAAAAGCAAACAAACAAAAATCCAAACAAAAAAAAAGACGTGGCCCTTCACTGGACTCACTCCAGCAACTTCATGTAGGACGAGAGCATCTCTCATATGGGGAGAGGCTGAGAGCTGGCACTGTTTAGCCTGGAGAAGAGGAGGCATAGTGGGATCTTATTGTTTATAAATATCTGATGGGAGAGTGTGAAGATGGCAGAGCTAGACTCTTTCAGTGCTGCTAGTGACAGGACGAGAACGAGCGGGCAGAAATTGAAACACAGGAAATTCCATCTGAAAATAATGGAAAACTTTTTTTTATGGTGAGAGCAATTGAACACTGGAATAGGTTGCCCAGAGAGGTTGTGGAGTCTGTCCCTAGAGATATTCAAAAACTCACTGGCCACAGTCCTGGGCAGTCTGCTCTAGCTGACCTTGCTTTGACCAGGACTTCATGATCTCAGGAGGTCCTTTCTAAACTGAACTGTTCTGTGCTTAATACTCAAAAGAATGTGTCTTATTTTAACACGTTTAATTTCTGTTTCCTGCTGTTGTGTTCATCCCTCCCTGTAACTCATTTCCTTAACTGTGCTTATTCTTATCACGGAATTCTGCATAAAAGCATAAACTTTCTGCAGTACAAAATTAGAAAACTGAAGACTCTTCTCTTGTAACCAGATTTGAAATGGTATAAGACTATGCAGCTTTGGAGGCTGACTTCACAGGGTAATGTTTAAGAAACAGGAAGACAAAACAGGATTGCTGTTGTCCTCTCCTTTATCATACAAAACAAGTGGTAGAAGTCTATTTTGTGATTGGAATTGGGTTAGTAGTTAAATCATTGCCTGAAACTGTTGCATACCAGTTGGTTAACTGTATGGTAGGAGGGCAAGCCTAAATTGTCAATATCAGTTGATCAGCTCTGTTAAGAAACTGTTTTGTTAGACTGTACGGATGCTAGTGACTTAGACCAGTCATTTCTCGCAACTTTATTCTGTTGATTTGCCTTTGTGACAGATGATTCTTGGTATAACTTCTAAACTTTCCACTTAGTAGCATAGGAGGTGTGCGTTTTGTCTAAGTTTAAGTTTCTCTGGAGACACCTGGATTGAGTAGTAAACTTCTGTGTGCTGACTTTTGATAAATCCTTGCCTTTTCTCCATTATAAATTTTGCATTGTTGGGTTTTTTTTGGTTGTTTTGTTTTGTTTTTTTCCCCAAAATGCTTGGTTCAAGTTTGACTTCATTTCTCCAATCTCCTTCCAGTATCTAATAAATAAGTAGAAATTACAAATTGCAATACCATACTTATAATTGAAAATCCTAATACCATTCCCATATCTGCTTTATCTATCAACCTAATTAAGTCTTCTCTTCCCAAAGGTTAAAAAGGCAATCTAAATAGGCTAGATGGTCCTGAGGGAAATAGAAAATGCAGTTGCTAGAAGTTCCACATGACTTTTTTTGCAAGAAAATCTGAATTGGATAGAACTATACTACAATGACGAAAAAAAAGCAGAAATTATTTCAGTAAATTAGAAGGATTCAGGTGTAGTTCCACAAAGAGGGATTTCATTTTTTTAAATGATTATTCCTGCAGATAACTCCACCTTTTACAAGTGCCCCAGAAGTGGTAGGTTAATGTCTGGTCTCTGACTGAGGTAGCCAGTCCTCAGAGCTTTTATGGAGTAAGCCATGACATTGTTATTTTCCCCATGCCTTTGTTAATCTAATTTAGAGTTATTCTAGTACAAGATTGTCATTTTGTACGTGGAAAGAAAGTGTGCAGCATTTAATTACTCTTCTGTGCCTCTGATGATGATTGTTTTTCTGTGTTGCTTTTCTTCCCCTTTCTTGTGTCAATAGGTATGAGGAAAAAAAAAAAGAAGAGTAATCCTCTGGCTCATTATAATAACATCAGCTATTCATTGTTGCTCCTCAGCTATTCCTTAGAGTCCAAAGGAGAAAAATATTTAGTGGAAGAATATTATTCTTTGTTAAAGTTTCATTAGAGTTGTAAAATCAGTGTTGATTTCTGCAGTAGCTGAGGTGGTATTCAGTGGGGTAGGTGTAGTAGTCTGCTTTCTGCTTCAGTTACTGAAGATGCAGGGAGAGTGTACTTAAAGCTTGTCTCTGAGAAGGTAGCACAAAATAATGCAAGATTATGGTGGTGATTTCAGGTTAACTATAATCAAGTTAAAAAAAAAAATCAGAGTTCATTTGAGCTAACTGGTTTACAAGTGAGATAGGGTATGTGTAATCCTACTCTGATAGCTGGCTGCCGCTTTCCAACAGTGTGTGCTTCCAGGAGAGGAAAAGTGTGTTGTGCTAACAAGTAACAGTGCTAGCAGAGTCTGAGTTCTGAAGGTAGGAGTTCATTAGTTCCTGACGCCATAGTTGGTGGGCATGAAAAAGGAGGCTATCTTTGAGAAACTAGTTCCCAGTTCTATAGATCTTGGTCCTTGCAGTCAATGCATGCTGCCTGCTGTTGTTTTTTATAAGACTTAGTTGGGCAGAGGGATGGAGGGAATCTTGTGACAGGTATGACACAACATTCTCAGATATGCAGAGCACTTAAAAAGCTTTCAAGTAATGAAGACAGAAAACAGCGTAGGTAACAACTTAGTCTTAGTTTTTTGATTTTATTTGCAGAATCTAACATCATTAATCTGTACTCTGCAGTATTTTAATTAAAAATTGTATTTTAAAATGTTTTGGTCTCTTCTGTGTATGTAAATTTGTAGCTATTATAATTTGAAGTGTGGTTGTTCTGTTTAACTAGTAAAACTGATGATAGTCTTTTGCTTGAATTTCTGTGGTCGAGATGGTATTAAAATGAGCTGTTTCTGTTGCCTTTGAAGAAACACAGGCTTTAGAACTAGGATTTATTAATTTATTTAAATGCTTCTCCTCAGAATGAAGAGTTAGATAAGAAGTATGCTGGACTTCTGGAAAAAAAATGGACATCTGTTATAAGATTACAAAAGAAGGTAAATAGAGGTCTGATGGATTTATTTGTATAAAAAGCTATGACTGAAATCAAACATTCATCACTGGACAGAATGTTACGTATTTTCCTTGTCAGACAAATGCAAGGTTTAGAAGGTGATGCCTCAAAGATGAATTTTGAGGACTTGAGTAGGGAAAATAGCTAAGTCCATGTTGTAGAAAATGTTTTGTCTATCTCTGGGCTAGCAGAGGCATCATCTCAGTTTCTTTATAAAAATTTCTTGACTTCAATTTATGGATTGCATGTGCAATTTCTGAAGCTGGAAATGAAAGAGGTGCCTTAAGGCAGTTTGTGAGTGGAGAGATTGAATAGCTGTCTCCAGAAGGCTTAACTGGTTTAGAAAGAAGGTAAAAAACCTGTGCTGCCAGTTGTCTTTGGCCATTACATTAAAGGGAAGAAACCATTAACTCCAGTGTGTTAGAGCAAGTGATTCTACTGCAAGTGGACAGTAAAAAACACTTTTTAGTAATGCTTCAATGGTTTAGAGTGTATTAAAAGCTTAAAAAAACCCTAAAACTGTGCTAACAATAAAGACCTATCTATTGTAAAGGTTAATATATCTAGGATTTGATTACACCTTCAGTTTCTCTGCTGTTGGTTAACATGCGTGCTGCCACAGGGATACAGAAAATTATTGCAGTAGCAGCATTCCTTTTTGTTAACACAGCCTCCTTCAATAGTTTGTCAAAATAGTAGCTCAAATGTATTTGTACAGTATTTGAGTGAATGTGATTTTGTAGGTTTTTTCCTGTCAAAATATTTGGGAAGTTGGAGAATAAATGATTAATGATTAAATTATTAAAGAATAAACAATAAATTATAAACTTAGGCTTGATTTTTAGAAGTACCAACACTATATTGAATGTTGGTAATCAGTTCGGGTCCATGCAGTCTTTGCTTTACTATGAGTTTGGGAGCCAGTTGGTATTTGGATTATTAATGAATGAAGGTGAATCTTGGTATAAAACTAGAAATGAATGGTCTCTTCTATAATTCATAAACTTAGGTAATGGAATTAGAATCAAAGCTGAATGAAGCTAAGGAAGAATTTACATCAGGTGGACCTCTTGGTCAGAAACGAGACCCTAAAGAGTGGATTCCTCGTCCTCCAGAGAAGTATGCGTTGAGTGGACACAGGAGTCCTGTCACTCGAGTAATTTTCCATCCAGTTTTCAGTGTTATGGTTTCTGCTTCAGAGGATGCCACAATAAAGGTACGTGTTTGCTCCAGAAAATTAAACTAAGCGAGTCAGGACATGTAATATGTAACATCAGTACTTCAAACTGGAAGTATGATTGTTTCAGATTCTGCTTTAGCTTCGGTAGGGACAGTTCTTTCTATTACGATGTCCTATGTAATCTACAAATGTTAGTTTTATGCTGGTCCAATTAGTATCTTCAAGAGTACTTTACTATCCTTTGACTTGAGGAAAAAACAATTAAGCTAATGTGGATTTAGACATTGAAGAAATAGATAAAGGATCAGTGGGGAAGAACGCATTTTGACTGCTCAGTGGAGGAGGAGTGGCATAGCGTATAGTGTCAAGATGAGAGGGAGGAAGACAGTTGCCTCAAGTCATCTAAAGTGATTATTTTTAAAGCTGAGTTAAAGTGGTTATGCAGCTGTATTCTTAACTGAAAATCAGTTCTTCCCATTTATTTTAAATGGGACACGCAAGTCCTGTGAAGTCCCCATGACTTCAGTAACTTTAAATGGTCTTCATAAGCCTTTATTGCAGTGTACAGTGGTGTGAAGAGATTTGTTGTAGTAGGCAAGTAGTTTCTCATTTTAGCATCCAATAAAGACATGATTGTGCATTTTGTTGTTGTTCGAACGTCACAGTTTAAGGGAATTATCCCGATAAAGGACACTTCTCATTGTTCTGTGCTGTTTTGAAAACTATTTGGAAAAGAGCTTTTTGAAAAATGTTGAGTAGCACGTTAAACAGCCTGCTCAAAAATGCAAGTTGTTCTAATGGCAGTTACCTGTTGGAGAAGATTAAAATAAAAAATGTCAACCATACCTTGTTCAAGAAAAGCTTTAACCTGTTCTTGTTTCTGCAGCTGACTTCAACATAGAGGACAGGTGTTGGTTTGGTCTTTTTTTCAAGCAGACAGGGCCAGCTTGAAACAGTGACAGCTCTGTGTTTGTTAGATGTTATCGAGGAGCCTAATTAGCTTTGAGTTTGCTCCCTCTTATGGATACACTGGCTGAACTTCCTTATTCTTAAAGTCAAGTTGTATAGCTTAATTTATGACTGTTGCATTCCCAGTGATTGCAGTCTATTTGGGTGATGGATTTTATTGTTGGGTGTGTTTTGGTGGGGTTTTTTTTGTTGTTCTGGTTTGTTTTGTTTTGGTTTTTTTTGTTTAGGATATAATTTAAAATGAAATGTCTAATTTTGTGCTTGAGACACAAAATCTGTAGGAGCTTGTTTTGTTTCAAAGGCTTTTGTTTGCGGTTAGATGATAGAGGACTGACTTAATTAGGAGGTGAGAATGGGGACTTCACGCTATCTTGCAGTTATTAACTGCAAATGTTTATGTAATCTCTTATAAATTCTGTAATCTACTAATGTATGCATATCAGACTCTTCAGAGGGGTTTGGATTATTATCCCTAAACCGGTGCTTTCTGAATGTTGCTCTTCAGTACGCAGAATATTTGTTATTTGGTTCTGAAGCAGCAAGTAAATTCTGGAGCCACAGTAATGGTTGGAAAAGGGGCGAGGGGTACTGCTGGATTTAGGATTGCTGGATTGCAAAGGGATGGAGAAAAAAACAGTCTTTACAAAGTGCATTTGTTCTGTCAATGTTTTCTAAATGGATCATCTTTATTTTTAAGGGTATAGGGTGTTAAGACTTTTAGCTACAATGGAACTTATTTTCCTGCTGTGTTTATAATGCTTTAAGTTAGCTCAAAAACAGTTTTCAAGATGCATGAATTCAGTTAATTTATAAGTAACAATCATCTAAAAATAATGTTTATTTTTCTATGCTGTTAGGCTTTTTAGGGCTGTCTTACTTTCTCTTGCTCAATTAATCATTGAGTAAGGTGCCAGACTGGCCTGCAGAGTGCAAATGTAAGGCTGGAGAATACAAAGAGTAATAGGTTGCTGTTAACAGATTTTCTGTTCACTTGTCAGGTGTGGGATTATGAGACGGGAGACTTTGAACGAACCCTTAAGGGGCATACAGACTCTGTGCAAGATATTTCCTTTGACCACACTGGCAAACTATTGGCCTCCTGTTCTGCTGATATGACCATTAAGCTATGGGATTTCCAGGGCTTTGAATGCATCAGAACTATGCATGGTAAGGTATAAAGGGAATTGATTTAGTCTGTAAAGTGAAAAGACTTTTTTTTTTTTTTTTTTTTTAATCCAGGAAAACTGCTGATGTAGAGAGGGGTTATAAACCAGAGTATTGTCCAAAAGAGAGGGGGATATTTTGATGCCTTGAGTGCTCTGTAAATAAGGTATATGTTTAGTGTCCTTGAAATGAAATAGCATCTCAAATCTGCTATGCATGATGCTGTGGGAAGCATCCCATAATGGTATTGAAATGAAATGGCAGTTAGAGGGGCTTAGCACTAAAAATTAAATGCTTACTAGAAAACAAAACTCTGCCTTGAAATCAGTAAAAAATCACCTTCTTCACCCCTCTATTTCCCTGATGTACTGCTTCAAGGGAGGAAGCAATTAGTGCAAAAGGTGTTCTGTACATACTGTGCAGGCTTCTGCTTTCACGTTCTTCTGATTTCAAGGGAACATGCCTTTAGCATTAGGCTCAAGAGCCATAGGAAAAAATGGAGAAGCAAAACAACCACAACTGTAAGGTTTCCAATACTGACAGCAGCTATTTATTTCACAGTCTTGATGTAAAAGTGTTTTTATGCTGCTGCTTGTCTTGCTTTTATATCTTCTTGTGGAAGTGGTGAGTAAGAATATAGAATGTTTGAGACTTAGGAAAATAAACACACACACATATATGCCAAAGAAAACAAAGCTGTTGACTTTTATGCATACAGCTCTTTAAATGCCACAGAACAGTACTGTAGAGCAAGAACAGATGTTGCAGCTGGCTGATAGCAAGGAAATAAAGTAGTGCTACAGAGCAGGGTTTTTTGGTCTTTAAAGGTTTCTATATGAACACACCTGTGGTATGTGTATTTTTATGAACTGGATGTTGTAACATGAGGGTGGGTGAGCTAGCTTCATGCCAGTTACATCCCTTTAAGTCAATTTCAAGGAAAAAGAAATAAATATTTTCAGTGAGGAGTTAACAAAGTACCATACTCGCACTGAAACTGGTATTCTCTGACACTTCAGATATCTGATCGCTGGTGTGATTGCTTTTTAGTAGGAGTTCACCAGGGGCTCTAAGTTCTTGGTGGAAAAAATGGAAATGAAAATTGTGAAGTTGTACATCGTAGGTGCATGGCTTGCAAGATGCAATGCAGCTGCCAATAAAAGAAGAAAAAGTAACTTACTAGTGAACTAAACTGGCTATAACTCTCTGGAAAAAAGAGCACCAGATCTCCAGATGAAAAAAAGGAAGCTGTTTAATGCCTCTAATCTGTTGAGAAATTATATATACTCTAAACTACAAATCTCAGAAGATTAATTTCTAATCCTGACAACTTAAATAGGCGCAATTGTAGTGCTTCAAGACAAGTGCATGAATTATATACAACTGTTATAGTCAAGCTTGTACACTGGATTTGTAAAAAAACAAACCAACCAACCAAAAAAAACCCAACCAACCAAAAAACGCCTACCTAACAGCTTGTTCTGGGTAGTACTAAAATTTCAAAGCAGTTAATTCTAATGTTTGCCACTTTGGGAAGCTTAAGTTCCAATTTTTTGTAAAACTGGAAACAAACAGTCTTTACAGAGTGTGTTACCTCCCTTTGTATGTCAAGTCCCCTTGCTTGTGGGATGAGTAAAGTCAAGAGCTGAAACCGCATACACGAGGTCATAAGGAGTTTGTGTTAAGGAAATGATCCAGATGCTTCTTCCTGACTTGGCTGATCATCTTCCTGTCAGATCTCTCAGCAGTAGTAGAGGTGCCGTCATGTGTATGCAGTTGGTTCGTTCTTGAGTCAATGCAGTGCAGCATTTTATTAAAACCTAGTATCAGATGTCTGGAAACATGCAGTCTTTTAGCATCAAGCTTCGGCAGTGAGGTTGGGCATGTTTCTCACCAAAGACCTGTTCTCCTTTTAAACCTCTTCTGCATAGTGCATCAGCATACTGCAATCAGATCCAACTGATAATTTTAAAGACAGTTACAGTAGCAGCTCTCTCTTCTAAACTCCTGGCTTTTGTAACTGTGTAGAAGTGTTGCTTGCAGCGGTGAGGGTCTGGTTTTAAAACATCTTAAAGAAATTTTGGAAACAGTTTTAAAGGTATTCAATGTCTGGACTGTGTGGATTCTAAAAATATAAATTACTATCTCTTAAAACCTCAAGTTTACATGTAAAGATTATTCCATAAAACATGTACTGCTGCTGTAGCTGCTTGCCCAAGATAAATGAATAGCAAGTCCTGTGTGCTCTGTAGAAGCTATTACAGTACCACTTAATAAAGATTCTATTTTGGTTTTAGGTCATGATCATAATGTTTCTTCAGTAGCCATCATGCCCAATGGAGATCATATAGTTTCTGCTTCAAGGGATAAAACTATCAAAATGTGGGAAGTCCAAACAGGGTAAGTGCACTTCTGGCTAAACATCAGCACATAACAAAAGAAGCATAAACCACTGTGTATGGGAAATGGGCCACATAAATCTTGAATGTCAGCAAACATTATTTGAATTGAGGTATGATATTGTGCCCTTTAGAGTAATTCACTTAAGCATTCTGCCTTAAATCATTAAGTACAGGGGTTTAGGGTTTAGTAGCGACTAATTAAAACTAACTGGCTGTATCTTTCTGGGAGCTGTGAGGGTAGAACACCGTAACTCAGGATCAGGTAGGTGTATAAATTTAGTGGTTAACCACAAGTTTAAAGGGAGCATGAGAGGAGGGAGGAGAAATCTGTTACCTTTCTTGACACAGATCAAGCTGTCTCCTCCCCTTTTGTTTTGTATTGGGGTTGGGTTTTTTGGGTGTGAGGGTTTTTGTTTGTTGTTGCTTAGGGGCTTTTTGCCTTACTGTTTCATTCATCAGTTGTCTCTTTAATCCATCCATTTGCTAAAGTGATAGGTGAAGGCTATCTGAATGACCTGTAAACCTCTACTTGTTCTTAAAATACCTATTTAATGCAAGCTGTCATGTCAACTTCCTTTTTATTTCCCCAAGCTTCCAGCCTTCTACCTTAACAAGGGTTTGCCAGTTCTTAGCTGTCGCTTCTTTCTCATGTCAACTTCCTATCCATCAACTGCTTTATGGCCTTGTACATCATCATCCAGGAGGGACACGTGCATGCTAAAATACTGTATCTTCGCTTCTAAGACTAGGTCAAGCGTCCTTAAATTTCAAAGGCATGTGCCATGGTTTTATTGCAATGTTAATTGAGTCATGCTCTATTTCTCTTTTTTGAACAGTTACTGTGTGAAGACTTTCATGGGTCACAGAGAATGGGTGCGCATGGTTCGGCCTAACCAGGATGGCACCTTAATTGCCAGTTGTTCTAATGACCAGACAGTGCGTGTTTGGGTGGTAGCAACAAAGGAATGCAAAGCTGAGCTCCGAGAACATGAGCATGTGGTAGAATGCATTTCCTGGGCTCCTGAGAGCTCGTACTCCACCATATCAGAAGCTACGGGATCAGAGGTAATGTTTCCCCTGCTAATAAATAAGGACATACAGTAAGGTTTTTGACTATGCTCTATATAGAACTTGCTGGATAGTACTTACAACAACTGAGCTTTGTTCTCAAAGTGCTTGGCACATGTAGCAGGTGTATGAATATTTTTTGCTGAGTATACTTGGTGTACTGTTAATCCCCCATCTTGGCTTCATAGGCTCTGTGCTTTTGTGTTTTTTAACAGTAGGACCTAGCTTTGCACTAATGGAAGTGAACTTTGGTGAGATGCTCTATTTCTGAGAAGGTTGAGACTGCAGCTGCTTTCACGTGTTTCAGCAAAGAAATGTGGAAGGCAGCTTATCTGGCATAACGTGAAGATGATAAGGATGCTCAGCAGTTGAAAGGTGTGGGGGGAAGTAGCGAGTCAGGAATGCAGAAATGAAGCTGCCTTGGGTGTATTGCGCTGGAGTTAAGCTTTGACCGCTATGTCCTGGTGTACAAAGTTAATGATATGAGAAAGCATTCTTTAACAAAAATAAATCCCCATTTGTGTGATCGTAGATACATCTTCTCTGGTTGGGTTGCTTAATCTTCTTCAAGAAAGGCTTACTAAAGGTCAGCAACAATTTTCTTTTAAGGATGACAAAGTGTAGAAGAAATGAACTAGAAATTAACTCCCAGTTTCCAGTTAAAAAAAAAAAAAACCCAAGCATTTCTGCCTTGTCCTCTTCCTCAAAAAGGACACAAATACCCGAGGGGAAAAGTAGATACACTGAAGATGGGGACTTGCCTAATGATGGATTTTACAGATTATTTCGGTCACATTTTACTTGCATCCTTAAAAGATCCTTATAATCTTTTTAATTAAAAGTAATTAAGACTAAATTCCAAATGTTCACTTCCTCCTGCAGTGGTAACATCTGAAGTGGTGTCTCCCCTGCCCTCTGCTGGTCTGATCAGCTGTATACATCACATTAGCGCTTAGCTTTGCGCGAGCAGCAAGTTAATGTTAACTTCACAGTTAAACCACTTCAGGTTCTGAGAACTAAGTCTTTCTCTCGTACTTTGCATGATTACAATTAGCAATAAGTTCAGAGTAGGAACTTCTCAAAAATTCTTAAGCTTGCTTCGTTACTTTTTATGACGAATGAGAACACCAAGGTATGTCTGAACTTCGTACCCTTTTGTCCTGAGATGTCTCACTCCACTTGAACTGTGTCTACTATTAACAGAGGATGTCTTGCGGTAGGCAAGTGTGGATTCAAAGTAATATTTGGCTTGGTGCATCAGCAGGACATAGAGCTGTTTCTTTTAACAGATTGTTTAATTCCTTTCTTTTTTGTTTATTTCTCCTAGTGTTAGCAACAAAATGCCTGCGACTCTCAGCTTTGGCATTGTGCATTTATTAGCTGTAAGCTGTCGTAAGATCTAATTTTGCTACTAAGAACTAGCGCTCAGAAGGGATCTGCTTCTTCCCTCATTCCCCTTCTGCCCCATATATTCCATAACTTAAAACATAATTTTCTGTAGACTAAGAAGAGTGGCAAGCCTGGGCCTTTTCTGCTGTCTGGATCCAGAGACAAGACCATTAAGATGTGGGACATTAGCACTGGCATGTGCCTTATGACACTTGTAAGTCCATTGGTGTTTTTCTGGTGGTCATAGCTGCATATGTAAAACCAGTTCTAATGGAATGACTTGTCTTACGTGTGTGTTTTCAAGACAAGCCAGAATTACTGAAATAAGACAAACACTGGCAATAGCTTTAATGGCTAGATATTTCCAATCTTGTCATTGCTAAGAAATACTAAGAATCTCAAAGTACATAGTACAAATGCAGGAGTTTGTGATGAGTAGCTTAGTTTGTCTACAGAAATGCCGATAATCATCTGAATTTGGCTGCCTGTAAAATGTCATGTTCTTTCAGTGCATTTGTGGGCTGCTGTTTTCCAGCCTGTACTCAGGCTGGACCGATGTTGGTGCTGGAGGTGGGGAGCAGAATCAGTGCAGATCACATGAGGGCTTCTGTTTGTTTGCCTTCAAGGACAGGAACTCACATTGTTGGTAGTGCTGATACAGATGTAATAATAGAAACTGAAGATAAACTCTGAGTTCTAATAGGTTTTAGAAAGGTAAATGCTATCCCTTGCAGCGACAGGGCCAGGAGTCGCTCAGTTTGCCATAGCATAAACTGTAGCATGTTTCACCTTAAACATGCACCTTCTCACTGACTTCTCCTTATGCACAAGGTGGGCCATGATAACTGGGTACGTGGCGTTCTGTTCCATTCTGGGGGAAAATTTATTTTGAGCTGTGCTGATGACAAGACTCTACGTGTCTGGGACTTCAAGAACAAACGATGCATGAAAACCCTCAATGCGCACGAACACTTTGTTACCTCTTTGGGTATGTATTGTTCTACAGCGCTTACTGCAAAGTACAGAGCCAGAAATACAGATTTTACTACATCTTCACCAGCTGAAGTTGAGCACTGAGCTAGGCATTCATGTTTTGGATTCCAGTGAAGTTTTGTGCTATGTGTATTTTAATCAAATAAGGACAGATACGAATTTTGAGTGTGGTGGATTTTTCCACTTCTGTTGCCAGTGTTGCACGCTGGACAAAGACGTTAACTGCCAGGGTGTTCTGGAACCTTTCACCACTGAGTATGTAGGCATTTGGGGAGTGCTGTGTTGTAAATGCTTGCCCAGCAAAGAAAAAAGGGATGGGAGCAAAATGGCCAGAAAAAATATACTTTGAATTCCTGGGCATAACATGCACCTTCTCACTGACTTCTCCTTATGCACAAGGTGGGCCATGATAACTGGGTACGTGGCGTTCTGTTCCATTCTGGGGGAAAATTTATTTTGAGCTGTGCTGATGACAAGACTCTACGTGTCTGGGACTTCAAGAACAAACGATGCATGAAAACCCTCAATGCGCACGAACACTTTGTTACCTCTTTGGGTATGTATTGTTCTACAGCGCTTACTGCAAAGTACAGAGCCAGAAATACAGATTTTACTACATCTTCACCAGCTGAAGTTGAGCACTGAGCTAGGCATTCATGTTTTGGATTCCAGTGAAGTTTTGTGCTATGTGTATTTTAATCAAATAAGGACAGATACGAATTTTGAGTGTGGTGGATTTTTCCACTTCTGTTGCCAGTGTTGCACGCTGGACAAAGACGTTAACTGCCAGGGTGTTCTGGAACCTTTCACCACTGAGTATGTAGGCATTTGGGGAGTGCTGTGTTGTAAATGCTTGCCCAGCAAAGAAAAAAGGGATGGGAGCAAAATGGCCAGAAAAAATATACTTTGAATTCCTGTGCATTCCTGGGTAGTATTACCAGATCTTGGTAGATGGTAGTTCCCCCCTGCCCTGGCAAAACCAAAACAAACAAACCCCTCCCTGCTCAACAAAGCTAGCTTTACGCTGGAATCTTCTGTATTCCTCTGGCAGTTTATAGCTGCTTCAGTAAAGCTGTGCGAGTCAGGTTAGCAGTGGACCCAGAATTGGCTGCTAAGGTTTCCTAATCAAACTTGCACATCTGTGGAAATGCAGGGTTTCTGCGCAGTGGGGCTCTTCGATTCCTCTTGGTTAAACTTCTCAGTGCTATCTGCTGACCCAGTCCAAAATTTGTTTGTATATATGAAATATTTTGGGATCTCCTGAGAGACAGCACACTTCGCATTCTTTAAATACTAGCTCACAGCAAAAAGAAAAAGTCAAGTTTCTTGACTTCTGATTCTTGAGTATCTCCTATGTAAATACATGAAGTTCCGTCCTCTGGTAGTATTCAAGGGTTTTATCAGTTCGAGACTCCTCTCTCATAACTTTATCTGGGTTTCTTTTCCACAAAAGCTGTATGACTGAACTGAAAGTAGGTTTTCACGCTTTACAAGATTGTAGCACAAGAGAATTTGCCTTCAGAACTACAGATGTGATGAGCTTTGAAAGTTAGCCTTTGAGCTGGTACCATTTTTTCAAAAAAGTAATGACATTCAGTGAAAGTGGAAAATAGGGAAGTTTTGGATTCATTCTTAACATAAGCTTTTCTTTCCTCACAGATTTCCACAAGACGGCACCGTATGTGGTTACTGGAAGTGTAGATCAAACAGTAAAAGTGTGGGAGTGCCGTTGATTGAATTCACATTTGACCCCTTTTTCCTCTGGATGCACTCAGATACCATGGTTACCCATTGAGCTCTGTTTAAATAAATATTGTCCTTTCATGTAAATTATTCTGGATGTAGATTGAGCTTATTAAATGTTACACACAAAGTATTCATGCATGGTGAATCCAAATTGTATACTGTAAATTTACATACGTTGTCTAGAAGTACCATAGGTTTAAGAACATGGGCTGGCATTGGTCACATCAGACCTAAGAAGGCAGAAGTTGGATAATTGAAATAGGGCACTTAACTGAATAGTTGACAGTGTCGTTCTATGTCGGATAATTATACCTGTTTTTCTTTCTGCTGTCTGTTGGTGCCTGAATTGGTGACCTCATTTGGGAAAAGTTTTGTAGGGCTCTTTCAGAAATGTGTATCTATGTAACATCACTTAAGTGTGCTTAATAAATCTTCTCTAAGAATACTAGATAATAAGGCTGCAATTCAGAATCTTCTGAACCTTATATGTAATTAATGGAAATTAATTAAACTCTGGAATATTTGTCATGAAACATTTGCCAAATCAACAGAATACACTTGTTTTGGCCTCCTATCACGCAAGGGTTGGTATATTTATATAACTAACTGTAAACCTGAAATAAGACAACAAATCTTAGTAGCAGCTGATGTGATAAATGTATTTATTTTTTATTTGGTCATTCAATGGTTAAGCTGTGCTGTTAAACTAAGTTTAAATGGTTTCTTTTGTTGTTGGGTTTTTTTTTTTTTTTTTTAATGCTAGACAAACTTCCAGGAGGAGTTGTCCATCCCACTAGAATTTAGTGATCTAATTTCCACTAGAGCTTCATCTCCCAAATGACCGCCATGGTACAACTTGCTGTTTGCTTTCAATGTTTGTTAGAGATGTGCAATTCCTACTACACACCAGTAGCAGAGTACGCGTCCCTCTGACTCGCTTGCAGGAGGTTGGGGTATACAAAGGTTTCATTAGTGCCTCCTTGGAAACCCTTTTGAAAATGAGGTTAAACTTACCTTGACAAGACAATGTGGCTTGGATTAAAACGTACCGTGGTTTGCGTATGGAGAAATACCTTGGGATACAGTATTGAGGTGCTTTAAAGAAAGCACTAAATACCTTGAGAATCAGATTATAGCGGCAGATACAGATCAATACAGGCTTCTACAAGAAAAACAAAACACCATCAACAAAACAAAAGCCCATCCGTGGGAATGATGCTATCAAGTGAACAGAAAACAAAACCAAATCTGATCAGCAAAACTAGCCCAGCTTGGTTATTAGTATTTATGTTGCTTGGTGTATACAATTTTTAATTTACATATCCCAGGAGTTACATATTTTGATCTGAAGTGAATGAAAATATTATAAAGTAGTATTTTAATCAGCATTTTTGTGACAAATTCCATTGTAGATAACTAAGAATTACAATACTTATCAAACTAACCAGGTCTTTTTAAAAATCCACTTTAAAATTTACAGTATAATGAAGTACCAGTCTGATGTTTTAACAGGTGAATTTGTGCTTCATTTTATTCATTTTTCTTTAATACATGGCTTTTAAAACTGTCCCTTTTAAAAATAAGAATCCTTGACCAACATAGGGTTGGCTGGAGGGTGTCCACACTAAAGCGGTGCGGGGCGCGGTGGTTCCTTTCCTGCCGTCACCCGCAGAAGGATCCATCCTGCGCCAAGGGGATGGGTTTCGGTATTGGGTCCTGGCGCGGGCTTGCCTCTGGGACGGGGTGGAGGAGACGGAGTTCTGATGTGGGGGTATTTCGGAGCCAGTTTAAGATTCAGGCTAATCTCTTAAATCCAGTGGTTTATGTAATTTTCAGTGTGTGTTTCTGCAGTTAAGCATGCACAAATAAAGTATTTTTTTTTGTTTGTTAGCTGCTTGGACTGGAAAAATTTGCTGCTTTTTTGTCCTATTTGAGAATTCCAGATACACAAGTAGTGCATCTTAAATCTCCTCAGTGCATCTGCAACTGTAAAGTAATAAATCTGTTTAATTCCTGATAGGACCTATAAACTTTATTTAAGTATAAAGTAAACCACACTCATGTACATAATTCATGAACATGAATGAGAAATTAAAGGTACCTATTAAGTGGAAGTTGTCTACTGCATTTTTTTCCCCTTAGCGTACGACTAGTTACAAGGACAAACAACTAAAGTTGTGTGAGCAGCACTAAATTCTTTGGGTGAAGGGCTCTGCTATGTCCTTCTGCAAGGCAGTTTGCAACCTTCTCCTTTAGTAAGCAGTGAATAATCTCAGGGATGGTCCTGAAGGGACCAAAAGTTAAAGCCCTGTTGAGACAAAAAGGCGAAGGCCGCGACACAGGAGTTGGGTGTTTGAGGGGTTCCTGCAGTGTCGCTCCGTGATACCGCAGCGTGGTGGGCTGCTTCCACTCTGTGAGGTTTTCTGCCAGCTAATCCTGTGCCTTTCCTGTGGTAATGAGTGAGGTTACTGGTTTGGGATTCCAAAATGAGTTCATTGGCGGGTTTAAGAGGTTCACTGCTGCTTTGTCACTGTCCTTACTTAAAATGGGCATCGCTTCAAAACCACCGATGGGTAGACTGTTACTGAACAGCCACTGCAGGCCTTTGGGCTCGGAACCCGCCAGCCGTTCCGGTGCTGCGCTGCCGTGACGTGCCCGGGGTGTCTGGGCTGCATTCGGAAAAGTGGCTTAGGCATAATCTGGGAGTTGGTGTTTTATAGCATCTTGCACTTTAGAAGATTAAAAAAAATACCCGTCCTGCTTTTGTGTATGGTGTGACCAATGATGTGCCCGGGGCACCAATTAAAAAGAAAGAAAGAAAAAAAAAAAAAACCAACCCCCCTAGTTGCTAGCGAGTTGTCCAGGGCTGCGGAGCGCTGTAGTGTTGGGGAGGCTTTGGCTGCAGCCCCCCCAGGCCCCTCTCCCCGTGCTGTCAGTACCCTGCTTCTGTTCTTGGTGAGCTGCCTGGTAATTCCGCTCTTAAATAGCTTTTGACTGGCGTGGAAGCTATTTAAAAGGAAAAGATGATCCTTTTGTTTTTGTAGACAGTGGTGGCTTGATAATCCTTTTAATGATTTGAATATTAAAAAAAACCCTGCTGCGTTGAGTGAAGGAGAAGCGCACTTAGAACGAGTTGTTCGCTGTCCGGCTGTACCGTCAGTACCCAGAGCCTTCTAGCAAGAATCCGCGCGTAAAACAAACTGGTAGGGGTGAAGGTTGGGAGCGGGGGGGCCGAGTGGGATTCGCAAGTCGCGACTGGGTTTAACTGGCCTTTTTATCTTTCCACTGTGTCCTGTAAGTAGCTGCTTCCCTGTCCTGCCCCTCCCTCAGGCTTCCCCGAGCTCATGCGGAAGAGGAGTTAGCGAAATCTTCACGTTTTAGAAGTCGATCCTGACATTGACATGAAGGCAAACGTCCAATTTTTTTCATAAGAACGATGTTAGAGGTTGCAATCGGAGACAACAGCTCCCAGGCTGTAGGAGTTACCTGAAGCTATTGACACAACTTAAAAGAGAAATCAGTAAAGGAATGTATATAATACTGCTCTGTGTTTTACAGTAAGATTTGTTGCTCTCAGACTGTGTAAAACAAAATTTATTCATGTTTTCTGCATATTAAAAAAATCTTATTGTACCAATTGGTAAACTATTAAATGCATATAAAACTAGATGTGGTTTTGTTTCTTTGGATGCAAGAATTAAAACTATTTTGAAAAAAGCTATTGGTGTTGCACCCTCCGGACTTTGCTCCCCACCTGCCTTTTACCGGGTTTTGGTTTAAACGGTGAAGCGTGTCAAGGCAATTGGTCAGGTTGGAGCAGCCAAAGGTTCGGCTGGCCGGCGGGGCGGGATTCG